GGCACCTCCCTTATGAGGAAAGGCTACAGCATTTGGGGCTCTTTAGTCTAGAGAAAAGGTGCCTGAGGGGGGACATGATTGAGACATATAAAGGTAATCAATTATGCAGGGGATGGATAAAGTGGATTGAGGAAAGCTCTTTCCCTCTCACACTATACCACAACCAGGGGACATTCACTCCAGTTGAGTGTTGCAAGAGTGAGAATGGACAAAAGAAAATATTTCTTTACCCAGTGCGTTAGTCTGTGGAACTCCTTGCCACAGGATTGGCATCTGGCCTAGATGCCTTTAAAAGGGGACTGTACAGATTCCTGGAGGAAAAGGCCATGATGGGGATGTATAATCTCCAGGCTTATAAGGAAGGTACTGCAAAATGCCAGATGCATTGAAAGAGGTATCAGGAGACAGGTATCTAGTTGTCTCGTGTGCTCCCAGAGTCTTCTGGTGAGGCCACTGTGAGATACAGGAAGCTGGACTAGATGGGCCCTTGGCCTGATCCAGCAGAGCTCTTCCTATGTTCTTATGTTAAGTCTTCCTCTTTTGTTGAGGTACTGTGAAACTCTAACTCACATAGCAGCGTTGTCTCTTTAGAGCTGGTTTTGCTCTCAGCACTATGGCATTCAAACAGATGGTCAAATGCAAACTTATGTAAAGTCATAGTATTTCCAGCTGAAGTTGGATTGCATTGAAGTCAAATTGTGCACAGATTTGAACCAATACAAATAGATGAATCGTGCAGGAGCAGGAGCCATCCTGTAGAGCAGAGGTTGTCAACCCCCATTCCATGGCCCGGTACCGTTCTGTGGCCTGAGCCGGACCGGGCTGCGGATACAAACCTCTCCCCCAACTCCCCACAGCTGCTTTGCGTACGCACACACACGCTAGCGCCACCGTGAGCGCTCCCCCACCCCTTCACGCATGCGCCCGACTACCCACATGGAGGGGTGGGCGAGCATGCAGGTGCTCCTGTGCATGAGCAAAGGGGTGAGGGAGCGCTCATGGCAGCGCTGGCAGGCATGCTTGCTCTCTCCACTGCTTTGCGCATGTGCCTGAGCGTGTACGGGCACTCTCAGAGGCTCAGCCGGTCTGCAGTCCCAAAAATGTTGGGGACTGCTGCTGTAGAGAACATATTTGTATGTGTGTCAGTTACTTTTGCCTGGCTTTTGTTATATCTCAAGATGTGCTCTCTAAAAATTGGGGGGAGGGACCAGAACATTGTTTTGGCCCCCCCAAAACAATATAAATGCAAGAGCACATTATACCTTTATTATACTACTAAAAAAGCTCAAGCAAACAGCAGGCAGGAATCTGGATTTCATCTGTATTCAGATATTATCTTACAGCCCAGTTTCCATGCTGGAAGTAAATGAAGGGAATCATAAAATCATAGAATACCAGAGTTGGAAGAGGCCTATAAGGCCATCCACCTGCTCAGTACAGAAATTCAAGCTGAAGTGTATCTGACAGCTGGCTGTCTAATTTTCTCTTGAATGCCTCCAGTGTTGGACAGCTCACTACCTCCATAAAGTAATTGGTTCCACTGCTGTACTGCTCTAATAGTTAGAAAGTCTTGTCTGATATTCAGCAAAAATCTGGCTTTCTGTAACTTGAGTCTATTGTTATGTGTACTGCACTCTGGAGTGACTGAGAACAGCTCCTGCTCCTGCTCTGTATGACAATCTTTCAAGTATTTGAAGAGTTTTATCATATTTTCCCCCAGTCATCTTATCTGACGGCTAAACATGATAAGGTCTTTCAGCCTTTCCTATTAGGGCTTCATTTCCAGTCCTTGTTTCCCTCTTCTGAACCTGTCCTAATTTGTCTACATTCTTCTTAAAGTGCCAAATAGAGGAAAAATGGTACTTCACAAGATTTGGAGCTTCTGCTTCTGTTAATGTAACCTAATGTTTGCCTTTTTTTGCATTACGTGGAACTACTCTAGTACATGTAATGGATACATGTAGATTATAAGAGAAAGGAAGTTCTGACTAAACGTTAGGAAGAATCTCGTAACAGTAAAACTATTCAGTGAAATTTTTACCTCAGAACAATCATCTTGGAAAGAAGTGGCCTTGCTTTAATTGCAGATTTTTAAACAGAGGTTGTATGTCATGGGTGCTGTCAATTTCCTCCCGTTGGACTTGATGTGCCTTGGTGCTTCCTTTCAGCTCTATGATTCTTCAGCTTTCGAAAATCCATTTATTTTTATTTATTTATTTTATTTATATCCCGCCTATCTAATCAATTAAGACCACTCTAGGCGGCGTTTCTGAGTTTTTGAACTCGGCACCACTGTTGGGATACTAACGTTCCATTGCCTCAAAGCAGATAACAGAGAACGAATAGATGGTGTATATATATGTTAAGACTGGCTATTAATGGTGCTGGGGATGATAAATGTGAGAACAGAACATTTTCATGCTAGGTGCAGCATTTTTAGGAATTTGTGCTGTCAGTTTTCCCCTGCACTTTAGCCAGCTGTTTTTTCAGATTTCTCTCTGTTTACTTCAAATGCAATATTAAGAACAAAACTTAGTGAGGTATATTAATTTGTCTGATTTTGATATATGTATTTCAAACTCTCAAGGAGTTTAAACATGATATTTGAAGATTTCCTTGAGGCACCAAGCTTTTTTTGGTTGTAGCTTTTTTTCTCTGAAACATACTTCCTACAAAGGTTTTCCAGGCACTATCCCTCTTGATGTTTAAGACCGAATTGTATTAAGCTGCCGTTTACCAATTGTAAATATTGTCCTGAGATCTTCAAATGGGTTTTAAATTGTATATTTTTATTCAAAGATAGTTTTCAGCTAGGGACAGGGTTTATTGTATCTTACCTGTTGAGAGTTCAGTGCCCCGTTGTGCCTCCTTGACAGGATCTGGACTCAATGATCCATGGGGTCCTCTCCAGCTCAGCAGTTCTACGATTGTATTTTTGTATTATTATAAAGTGGTTTTATGATTTTGCTGTATATTGTGAACCACCCAGAGAGTAACAGCACTAATGGAATAATATAGAAATGGAAACAAAGAAGATTGTACCAATCTTAATTATTTTCTTTCAGTTTCTGAATGAGGTGCAGGGTATAGTCTGCATGAAAATGAATTCACGTTTTTATTCCCCTCCTAATACACAATTCTATGTACTTCTGGCCTAACATACATTTTTGCAAGCTACAGTATTTTCCTTAGTATTGCACTGCTGGTCAGAAAACTTTTTCAACTCTGCTGCAGCCCTCTGGGGCCTATGAAAACCATCTGGAGAGGATTTCCCTCTCTTCCAGGGCTACCTTGCCAGAAGAACACTGAATTGGCTGTATTTTACTCTTCTACTAGTGGAAGAACCTTGTATGCTATTGTCACTAATATGCACCACTTTGTGTGCACTTTTTCCAGTTTACACATTTGGATCTGCCTTTTATGAGAGCAGAACTGAACCATGACATTCGGAAAAGTCTAATAATGAATTATACCTGTAACCATACATCATTAGTCTGAAAAGTGGCAATGAACTATGTTGGTATTAAAAGAGGAATGGGCAAATGTGGCCTCCTAACATTTTTAAACTACAGCTCCCATAATCCCTTGTGATTGACTGTGCTGGCCAGGGGTGATGGGAGATTGGGGTCAAAGATTTCTGGAGGGCCAGAGAAAATAATCCCATTTTTTTTTATTTTATTTCTACTACTCCAGAAGGTGTACAAATAAAACAGAAAATCACAATTGACAATACAATAGTAAGACAAACATAATAACACAATATAAGCACATAAATATCAAACTAAAGAGGGAGAATATAGAAAGCATATGGCAACAGTCTGACATACTGTACATCAACAGCTAGTCCTTCAGTGTAAGGATGTTTTAAATGCCTCTTCATAAATCTTCACATTAAACAATTTTCTGTGAATGTCCAAGGAAAGGGTTTGGCACACCTGCAGAGGCAGGGCATTCCGAAATGGAGGGCCCACTACTGAGAACTCCTGGTTTCTAGCTGATCTTTTCTTAACTTCTCTGGGGCCAAAACTGAGGTAATTTATCTATTACCTCTGTTCCCCAGTTCCCTTCCTGGTACCTAGTGCTCAGGTGACTGTTTAACCGCGGAGGTCCCTCTCTGGCGCGACCAAAACTGAGGCGATTTATCTATTACCTCTGTTTTCCAGTTCCCTTCCTGGTACCTAGTGCTCAAGTGACTGTTTCTATATCAACTGAAATCGTGTTGAGCTGTTACGCAAACAGTGTAACTTTTGGAAGCAGCTCGCCATCAGTTAAGTCATCTCTGTAGACTGTCTTTTGCATATTGAGTCACACACCTCAGAGTGCAACAGAAAATGTCTGTGGAGATTTCTTCACCTGTGGTCATTTGCCACTAATATTGTGTCCTTTCTATAAATGCACATCAGGTTTTTAGTCGTTAAAATATTTCTACCTCACACTATATATGAATTTCTGAGATGGAAGCAGTCAATAAAACAGCTTAAAAGCATTTTAAAAACCACTGGAATAGTTTAGAGCAATTCAGGACAATCAGAATACAGTAAGACCCTCAATCCAGTAGACCAAAGCCAAAGTGAACCACTAAACCCAAAGGAAACTGTGATAACTAAACCAGGAATGTGTGAGTGACTGTTGTAACTTGGCACCAAAATAAGGCCAGTGTTGGTACCGCTGGGGCTTCCAGTGGGAGTGTATTCCATTACCAGGGCAAGAAATTCTTTGTCCAAGAGTCCAGTGTCCTAAACAGTGGGTCACTCACTGTATTGTGTAGTGTGAGTTCTTTTTTTGACTCACTCTTCCTGTGGGCAGATAGATAGGGTGGTTCTCTAACTTTAGAAGAGTTTGTGTGTCTTAAACATTTCTGTCGCAAAATACAGAAGTGTTATTTCCTCATAATATTCTCAAGAGACACTTTAAACAGTCCATCAGAGTATGCTGTTATTCTCTGCTGACCCACAAGAGCTGTGGTTGATTAATTCAAATTTTTATATTTTTCCTTTCAGGTTTGGGATGCTGTGGATCGTGGCTGTTGTTTAAAAACCTACTGTTGTCACACGTGTGCTGTTCGAGCTGTCCAGTGGTCACCTTGCGGCACAAGGATTATCAGTGGAGGCTTCGACTGCATGCTTCATTTAACGGACATTGAGAAAGGTAAATATTACTGTTAGCTGTTCAGGCAAGGTACATCATCCTGTTCTTCAGTTTGTCCACTGGCTGTGACTCTCCCTGGACAGGTACAATCTGGCTACAGCAGTTACCGTAATTGTCCGTTTATAACATGCCTCCATTTATATGACCCTCCCCCCCCACCTTTCTAAGTCCCAGATTAAGAAAACTAAGCTTAGAGTATTCAGCCTCTGAACGCTCCGACATTAAGAGTCTCTGTTGAATCTGAGCCTAGGCAGGTGAAATGTGCATCAGCTGCTAGATGGCTAGCAGATACATCTTTAACAACCCATATGATGCCAATTCTGAAATAATTGTGCTTCCCGCAAATACACTTCCAGTCTGAGTTCAAGATGTTGACCTGTAAACCCCTAAATCCTTAAATACCTGCTCAATCACTAAGATCTGCTGGAGGGGGCACTCCTCTGTGTTCTGCCACTGAGAATGATCTGCTATGTAGAGATGTGGAGCAGGGCTTTCTTGGCTGTAGCACCTCATTTAAAGAATGCCCTGCCCTAAGAGGCTCAACTCGTGTTGACACTAATCTTGTTTTAACACCAGGTTAAAACATGATTACCTACTGTGACTTTTGAGAATTAAAGAGCATTAACAGGCTATGGAGGCTTCTTTGTTATGATTGTAATATTTATGTCGTTTTTAGTTTTTTAAACGTTTTCAAAATATTAAGCTGTCTTATATTGTTTCATTGTTGTATTCTGCCCTGAGATCTTAGAATATACAACAGAATGAATTTTTTAACAAACGGAGAAACAAATCTTAAACAAAATGCCTCTAGATCACCTCAAAGTGCTCTTTAATATTTTGAAAATAACTAAAAAAAATTACTTATTACACCAGTAAAATGAGTCCTACTCTTGACATAACTTTTGGAATATAACTTTCTTGCCTCCTAATTGTACTCAAACGTAACCAGTTACAGGTAACTATTTTTCTTGAAACCCATTAATTCCAAATGCTAATACTTATAGCATTTCATGGAAAAGATCCTCTGATATGAGAAAGCATTAGCTACATGAATGCCATCACTTATATGGTTCATAAAATCTGTGTCTCCACATCGTTACAACAAAGTTTCCCTCCATTCGCTCCCTTGGATGCTAAGGGGATATTGTATGGCTGACAACAGAATGACCTGGCTCCTTATAACAGTATGACCTGGCTCCTGGCTCCATTTAGCCAAGCTACCAAACTGTTGTGCAGTTTGACGGCTTGGCTAAATGGCTCGTTTGGAGCTGGTGTGGGCTAAATAGAGTTATTTAAGATCAGGTAGGAATCCTGTATGCTGTGGGGTGCTATTTTTGTGACCGCATGGCATATGCACCTCGAGGTACCTATATGGTCCATCTGCTTAAAGAAAAAGCAAAGGAAAAATATTCACCTTCTTACTGGAAGTGAGTGATTCTCACTTCTGGGAGTACAGCTGTGCTTGGCATGCACAAATTTTTGTTCTGTTTTTGAGGTGCTACCCTTTAAACCAGTTCATGGGAACGTCTTTGAAATCAGCAGGAAGGATTCCTTAAATACACAATCCACAGTGAGGCTTTGGAGTATGGTAGGGGGTGTGGACACTGAAAGTGTCTGGGAGGAAGCTTTCATTTTATTCGCTAAAAGGGACAGCATATCCGTGCTGCCCTTATCAGTTCTAAAGAAAAACTGTGCTTCCTCCCTCCACTGCATGGAGGAGCAGAGGAATGGAGACAATGTTTAATTTCACAGTTTCTCAATATTAAGTGGCTAAGCTGTCTTTTTAAGCCACTAATGATATTTGGAAATTAAAACCACCAGGGAAATTAAAAGCAGGAAACTCCACTTTGGTTTGTTCTTAGTGATCACGTGCTGGAAACAAGCCAAAATTGATCCTATGTGCACCTAAAAAAATAGTAGCCCCTGACAGGGACTCAAAAAGTTGCAAGTAGGAACACTCTGAGAGTGGGCTGGTTTGCTATAGCAGATATGTTGTCCGATTACTGGCCAAAGGAGCAAACTAGCAGCAGCCCTCACAGCATTTACTGTACTGCACATTGTTCCGGTAGGTTTGCAGTAGCCTGTCCTGATTCCTCAACAGTGTCTCCTGAGCCCTGTAGCCCATTTGTCACTGGATGTCCAGGGACTATAGTATCTGATGCGGTACTTGTTGACCCCTGAGCCCTGTAGCCCATTTGTCACTGGACTATAGCATCTGACGCGGTTCTTGTTGACATGGGTGATGACCACCAATCCAATATGGATTTCTGTTTATTTTCCCTTATCGAATTTGATGGTTGGTGGACATAGTTGGTCTGGATTCTCAGCTGATACCTGTTGGACTTGGGAGACCTTTCAGATAGCGGTATTACCGCCAGCATGGCTCTCAACCTCTCTGCCTCAACAAGGGCCTGTGCCTATGGAGGAGATGATGATGAAGTTACTGATATTTCTTCCACTTTCATCTAAAACTAGTCCAGCTTTTCTGCATGATAGTTTCTGTGTACGAATTGAACAGAGAGAGAAATAAAATGCATCATTGTCTGACCCCTTTGCCTATAGGAAAACCATTATGTTTTCTTCTTTAGCTACCTGTCTTGCCCAGTGGCTGCTGGGCTACTGGAACTGTGCATTCTCTTTTGCTGATGGGGCCATTCCTCTTGAAGAGGGTGGATGCTCCTTAGTCTGGTGTATTTGCTGTGACCAATCCACTTTGCATGACTCTGCTAAGAACCCAAGGCTCATAATGGAGTCAGACGTCCTGACAGCATTGCTCTCTGCTTCACTGACACACTCAAACCCCTTTCACCATGTTAAGATGTGCATCCAAGAAGGGTCAGTATTTGATATACCCCATGGAATCTTTTGTATATTTGAAGCAAAAAGGAGTGGAAATCTCTCTCCCAGAAAGCAACTAGGAAGTTGTGTGGTTTCTTTCACATCACAGTAGAAATTGAATCTAAAAAAATACTACTCATATAAACAGTTGGAGAATGTATTGCATTTGTGGATGCAGCCATAATGCTTAAAAAATTGCCATGGTGTGTGGTGGTACTATTCTTTCTTTGAAAGCATTAGTCATTGGTTAGTTTGTATCTATGCAATTTATTTTATTTTTATTGCATTAAAAATAATCCTCAAGTACCTAATAGCCAATCTTAAACAGATTAAAAACACAAGGTATACCGGTAGATGCTTCGTATTGTGGTTCCAATATATACCTGGCCACAACTGCAAGGTATACCGGATACCTTGCAATTGTGGCCAGATATATATTGGAACCACAAACGAAGCATCCACACAAGAACCAAAGAACATGAGAGACACTGCAGACTAAAACAACCAGAAAAATCTGCAGTAGCTGAACATGCCCTAAAACAAACTGGACATGAAATTCTATTTCAAAATACCGAAATACTGGACAACACCAGCAATCATTACATCAGACTGCACAGGGAAGCGATTGAAATCCACAAGCACCAGCAGAACTTCAACAAAAAAGAGGAAAGTTTGAAACTCAACAAAACTTGGCTCCCAGCTCTCAAAAGTACAGCGTGCAAAAGGTCAACAAATTCTACCCAGCCACAAGGACTGGTGATCACTACACACAAAAGACCAGCTAATGACACCCATCAAGCACAGTGACAGATAATCTCTCCTCCTTATCACAACAATACACCCACAACAAGACACACTAATCACCCATCTACAGAAAAAGACAAAAGCCCATCTCACAGCCATAAATACTCCACTCCCAATCCAACTACATCAGAGCACAGAGTGCTGTCCTCTGAAGATGCCGGCCACAGAGACTGGCGAAACGTTAGGAAGAACATCCTTCAGAACATGGCCAAAGAGCCCGAAAAACCCACAACAACCATTAGATTAAAAACAAATTATAAACAGAGGAAAAACAGATGAAAGAGCAGATGAAATAATAATTTTTTTACAATTGCAATAATCAAAGCAATTAAAATGATAACATCAATAAAAACAATTTAAAGCAATTCATAGCAATTTAGTATCTCCACATCCTTGTCAATAGCATCAAGAGTGGGAACTGTGGGTAATACTGAAAGGGATTCATTCCACAGTGTGGGAGCAACATAGGAAAAGGTTCTCTCCTATATACCTGCTAAGTGAACAGTGCAGTCAAAATTTCTCCTAGACAAAGAACCTGAGCCATTTGTGGTTGTTGGGATTCTAATATGGTACCTATATTACCCTGCAATATTCACATTTCTGAGTTACTCAAGCTTTTAAGCTACTGTATATGGCTTTTACAGATTTTTTTTCCCTGACACTCAGGTGGAAAATGGATTACTTTAGTAGAAGCTTCTTTTCATATTGGCTGCAGATCATTTTTAATGGCTGCATTTCTTATGTATACCTTTATTAATATTATAATTTCAATTGTATAACTGAAATGAATGGATTAAATTCCCAGTGTTTTGAATGGTGACTTTTGCCTTCTGTCATGATTACAGAAGATGAACGTTTGCTGCTTTTCTAAATCAACATGGTCACAATCTGTGAGTTTTAATTCGTCAAACTGAATACAACTTGCCCCCTCCCCCATGTCGAACAAGTGCATATATTGCAGAAATGAGAGACAGCGTGTCTCAAGGATAATTAACAGGCTAAGAAGCTATTAGCAACAGATTGCAGGAAATGTGCATACTGGTCCCAAGCTCTCTGATGGGTTTTCCCTTGTCATCCAGTGCTCAACTAATTAGTTTAGTCTCTGCTGGGAACTAGATGGCTACCAGAGTTTGTGCTTTTAGATTTATATCCCGTTTTTTTGATTGATAGGCAATGCTCTAATCAGAGTGAACCCTCCTTGTGGCTTTGTTGCTTTCAATGGTTGGTGGGCCTTTTGATGCTTTTAAGAGAAGGAGAAGCAGGTGTTGCAGGGTAGGGACATGTGGCTATTCCCATGTGCCTGTGAAATGGTTTCTTATAATCATTCCTGGTATCTTTAGATGAAATGATCTGGACTG